AAGAGAAATAGTGTCACTTAGTGAAAGCATTAGATATTGGATAAATGAAGCTCTTCTGCTAAGAAGCATATGCATATGCAAAAGCTAGGCATTTTAAGGACTCATGGAATTGTTAACAATGTTCAGTTTTATTTGAAAAGAAAGTTAATTTCTTGGCAAGCTAGAAATGAAACAGAATGTTCTAAGCAGAAAACCTGTACTGTGGAAGATACTTATTCTAGACTTGGAAGGATTTTATTTTATTAAAATATAATGCAAAGGTTTTGAGAGGTGGCTTTTACATCAGAGAAGATGCTGTAACGCTGCATTGATCTCCATCTTTATTTCTCCATACTTACCATTGTGCAGATTGTCATAGGGATAGAAGACTGGGAATAGAAATCTAAGATAGCCATGTAAAGAATGGTTTTAATAGTCCATGCTAATTTTAAGAGACAGGACAAACAAGTAATCTAGTATTTTAAATATAAAAAATCTGCAAGATAAATGGCTAATACAGCATGAGGTACACTTCTTAGGCAGTCTGCTTAAAGTAGACATGGTAATAGTAATTAAAATATAATAAGTTGCAGGTTGTAAGTTACACATTAATAAATATAAGTTAATAAATTACATTGTTATTACATTGTTAGATATATTTAATTTAATCGTAGCATGCCAAACCTTTCTTGCAATCAGACAGTACATTGTTTTTCCTGTCCTCTTCAAAAACCAAGCTAATGACAGAACAAGTGTTCCAGCTGAGAGGGGCTGTGCTAGCATTAACAGCGCCTCTCCAGATTTGTTGCTGATCAGAGATGGCAGCAGTTGTGGCTGTGGAGCATTTCTGAAGGACTGTGGAAACATGTTCATACCAATTACTTCATTGTTCAGCACACTTACAGCACAGAGGGTTGTTACATCCTAAAGTAGAAACAAGTGCCCTGAATTTGTCTTTGTAATTCACCAGACAACTGAGCTGTCTGGATACTTGTGATGCCTGATCAAATTTCAGCACCAGTAATTACTTGTAAAAGGATTTTTTTTTAAATACATGAAATTGGCAGCTAGCTACCTAAATAATTACCACGTTAAACTTTGCCCATGAGTCTTAGCTGATGGTGGGAAGCAAACTTCTCACTGCTTTAGTTGCAATGGTTAGTAAGAGTGGTTGGTCTATTGTATCGTTGTCAGTCACATTATGATATAAAACCATAGCAAATATTGTCTGTGAGAAACAGCTGCTATAAGAATAAAGGTAAAGCATACTCCTTTATTTCTGAAGGATTTGCTTTTGACATCAGAAGACCTCTCCCAATAAAGGAAGGAGAGCAGTTTTTAACAGTCCACTTCATATTGGCTGCTTGGTGTCTTGCAGCAGGGCAATGATGATGCGGCTTTAAAACTTCCATTCTCTGCATTCATCATCATCAAGAGTCAGGCTTTAAATACTCTAAGCTGGAGGAAGTCAGAAATCGTTGTTCATAGTAACTTTTATTCTAACAAAGCCATAGGATTTAAGGTTGAATAAACTAGATGTGTCAGGTTTCCTGGTGTTAAGAGTGTTTTTGTGGTTAGGAATAAGTTTGGATGGAAAAGTTTAGTCTCAAGAAGTGACTAAATTGTCAGATTGAAAGTTTTTAGCACATGGACATTTTTGCTATACCTATGAATGTTTTGCTTAAAACTGCAATGTTGTTTCTATTTAGTAGTTTCATGGAATGGGCTTTCCCTTTGCCTCTAGTGTTCTGTGATTTTATAATGCTGTTTTCCTATTTAGAATATATAAAAGGTAAATGAAAACAAATATAGAAAGTGGCAGAGAGCATAATCAATACACAAAGAAGTGACAAAAGAGTTTTCTTTTTGAAAAATGCTGATGTCTGGATACTAGCAATTACATGAGCCAGAGATAGCAACCATTGTCAGCATTTCTCTATAGAAATTCCAAGTATTTTAAATTGTCAGTGTATGATTTGAAAATAAAGTAAGTGACAGGAAAAGTGACATGCTGAAAAGTCATGAGAGTGCTAAGGGTTAAGAAATTAACTGGAATCCTAAATACTCCTGCACAATAATGGTGACTACCTCTAGTTTTGTTCTCAGGATTAAGGTTTCTTCAGTCAGGTTTGGGTTTTCTTTTCTTTTTATTTTTTTTTTTTTAATATTATGGTAAATATGCAAGAGTTCCAATTTTTTGGGGAGTTATTTTGTGAAAACTGGGGTACATATTATTCCACCTGACATCTGAGCCCAAAAAATGATGTCACTGTTGGGATTTTCTGTCTACTGCACATAGGGTGCAAATCCCCCCTCCTCTCAGTCAGCCAAGACATTCTGTGAGTTTGGCAATTGCAAAGAAAATTGTTAAGAGTTGGGCACACACTAACTGTGGTGCAGTAGTGTCTTGGAACAAATTAGGTGTACATCCAAGGTTATTTGTGGTTATTTATCCTAGTCTCTGCTACTGGAGTTGTGTTATCAGTGACTAAAAGAGTACTGTTAATATTAATGAGGCTCAAGACAACAAAAAGGTCTCTGTGACTGACATGGTAAATACCACCTCCAGAAGAATCACCGTGCTGAGATTGCTGCAACAAGCTTCTTAAAAATTTCTTCCCCAGAATCCTTTTTCTTTTCTCTTGATGCCACCTTGGAGAGACAGTGAGCTAAAAAGAGTTTGCAGGTTTAATTCTGTGATTGCAAAGATCAAAGATTTCTAAGTTTGTAAAATTTTATTTTGGCAGTGTGTCCTCAGAAGCTGCTAATTCTCTATATGCTTGTCTAAAAGATACCGTTTATTTTAGTGTCTTGCTACTGTTTCCAATTTAGTAAAGAAGAAATTTGAGGCATTCTGGTCAATTCAATTACTCAGTTCAGTGTCTTCTCTAAATTCAGAGTAAGTTCTAGGGAGCAATAGGACTTACACAAAGCATTTTACTAAAAACATACTCATTTAGATTATGGATGTTTTAAAATTTTATGTCTTATATGTAATATAATCAGAGAAGTTAGTAGAGGTTTTTGAGTGAGACATATAGTAGTGTGTATTGTTTTTCCATACTGCTTTTGCTACTTTGTTCTTTTAGTACCGATCTTTGATAGGCAACACAGGCAATTGGGTAGTAAAAAACAGTTGGCTTTTTTTTGGAGCAGATTTTTGGAAGTGACAGGATTAGCTTTTTTATCTTCTTTTACCATACTTGAAAATATATATTTTTAAGGGGTGAGTCAACACAAGATAAAATTTCCCTTCTGTCCACTCCCAAGTTACAAGTACCCATTCACAGGGATATATGAAAGCAGAAGAAAAGGGTACTAATCTTCAATACGAGGAAATAAGCCTGTATCAAAACCAAATGAACTATATTAACATTATAGGAAACTGCTAAGAAAAATTGGGTTGACTGTTTAGAGAGTATATGTGGTTATAGAGTGGATTGACCTGGTTATGCAAAATGCATCCATGTGATGGAGAGCTGATTGATAGTAGCCATGTTTTCAAAGATGAGATGAAAAGAAGCTTGATTTAGGTTTTTATTGCCTTCAAGAGTGAAATTATCTTCTCTCTAGAAGATGTCCATTTGGGATTGAAGAAATTCATAACAACTTAAAGTCTGGTTGAATGCAACCTGGTTATTATACTCTCTGGGCATTAGTATTGTGTCTGGGCTATATAATAGTCTGACGTTATTAAAAACTGGCTAATTGCAGTGAGGGATAGAAGAATTAGTCAAAACAGATCTTTCTCAATTTAATCCACTTTAGTACTATTGAATTACTGTAAATATTTATTTAACTCTTGCCATAGTTCTTATGTGTTGATGAGGTCTTTAAAGTATAATTGCAGTTCTCTTAGCACTTTGTTCCTTTAAAAACAGAAATTGCTGTAAGGAATTAATCTAAACTGAGAATTAGCCAAATAGAGTTAATGATGAAAAGCACAGTAAAAATCTCCAAAGAATTCATGCAGTTATGGTATATGAAGTAGTGTAGACCTATACATGTATAAGCTTATATATTAGCTTATACTGCTGCACTCTTAAGTGTGATTTTAGAAAGGGTAAAATCAGCTCTCTATACATATTTTGCAATATAATCTCTTGCATTTCATCAAAGAAGGTGTCTTGATAACATGGTATGATTTAGAAAACAGTTTTCAAGTGTATGTTCTTAGGTATGTCACTTATTTTCACCACCAGGAGAAACTTTTCTTTGGTTTTGAAGTTCTAATCTGGAAATGTTTCTTATCAAATCTCATAAGAATCTAAGAGATGCTTGCTTCCAATCTATCAGAATTTTCAACATAGTAGCAATATACACATGATGATTTGAGTACTCCTTGTGGTATACTGATGTTTGTAAAAAGATAAAAATTCTGAGACCAACTCTGCATATTTAATGTGCTACAGAATAGAAATAATTGAAACATGATGGAAGCAAGCATAGGGAAACCTTGGGCAGGCATCTGCAGAAAAGATGAGCAAATACACAAGTTCTTGTTCAGAGGATTTGGGAAACGTTTTGCATTCTATTGATAAATTCTGCTTTATTCTCTGAAGTTCCACCTGGTTTTAAAGGATCATTTCCACTTTGTATTGTGAAGTAAGAGAGAAATGTCCATATTGCCCTGTAATTGCAGCATAATGTGTTATGCACGCTGGTCAGGGTGAGATTTGCATAATAATGTGTCCATGGTAAATCTGATATTGCTGATTTAATTTTAGAAAGCAAATAGATGTATGCTTAAATTTGTTGTCACTTTACTGGCACATCTGCCATTTTCATTTCCATAGTTTTTTGAAAAGTCATTTTGATAATATTGCAGCTGAGGAAAATGAAGAGTGTATTGTTTCCAGACAATTTCACTAATGGAGTGAAATATGATACATTGTATGGTACAGCCGTATGCAGAGAACACTATGTATAGTTTTCAGACTTAACCTTACTTTTACTTACTGTAGTAAAAGACATGTAGAGAGCATTTTTCTAATTTTTTTAAAAATCTGTTTTGTTTTCAGGCATTGCTATTTCTGATGAACTTGATAAGGTAAGACTGATAAAAGATGTCTAATGAGCAATACAAAGAGACAGATGATTATGATAAGGCACATGCCACTGTCCTGGTATATTCACATCTGTTCTGTTGGGTTCAGAGGAAGTTTGGATGTGGAAAGCTGTATAGGTAAGTACAGTATATGTGGATGCGTTAGGATGTTGACCAAGGATGGGCTGTCAAGTGTGGAAAAAAAAAAAAGTGACTGAGTTTAAGAGACTCAATGAGACCATTAAGACCAAATGGAAATACTTTTGATCTTGATGCCATCTTTGCTTAATATGTATTACTTTGTGTACTTTTGGAAACATTTAGCCTTGAATACCTTTTAATTCATGAAATTGAATTCTGCATTCCCAAATATGATTAGTGAGAAATTATTTTTACCACTCATATTTACTCAGGAATGCACAAGTCATAAAGATCAGTCTTTACCTCCTTGCTGAACGCAAAAAATGGTCTCTTCAGTTCTGGCTATTTTTGATACCTTACACAGCTAACATGAATTTTAATTCTAGGTCTAATAAATTCTACACTGAAAAATTAATCAAGATCCGTTTATTTAAGTACTTACGGAAACAGAACCAATTTTTCTTCCCTATTTTCAGCAGTGAGCAGCAGTGTGCTTCTAGTGCCAAGAAACTTGCATTGTGTTCTTGGTGTCAGAAACCATTGCTGTCAGGAAAATGAGTTCACAAGGTACATAAGATGCAGGAATAATGCCTAATATAGAACACTTTGTTTTTTTAAATAACTTTTGTTTCTGCTGTTAAAATGAGGACACAAATCCTTCTGACACAAGTGTGTATAAAATAACCTTCATTGCGTTCTCTGAGGAAGGCCAGTTAGGTAAGACTGATAAATGTTACCGTGCTGTCAGGTGGATCTGTGGCTGCCATTTCCAAGCTATGGCATAAGTCTTCTCACTGTTTCCATAACTGGGCTCAGAAGTGATGGTAAACACAATTAGTTAGTCCTTCCATTAGAACCCTCACCTTTGTGAGTACTTATGAAGAACTCAATTTGTTATGTTTTGTTGTTGAAAAAGCCCTCTAAGATACTCTTTGAGGGAGGAAAAAGACAATTTAGGCTAGAGCCTGGTGTCACATGCTTTTTATATATATATTTTAGCAAATAATTTCTTTTTGGTTTGGGTTTTTTTAAAACTATGATATCTTATTGTTCAGAAACATTAATGTTTTTTAAATTTAGTTATTCAGTGTGAAAACTCAGATGGAGAACATAATTGGGGAATTTCCACAGGATCCAGCCTGAGTGAAGAATCAGGGTTTTTTTGTTACTATATACTTTATTTTTTGTACTTTAAAACTGGAGAGTGGTAGGCTTTTTTTAAAAAAAACTTGGAATAAGGTTATATACTTTTAATAATACATTGAACGTTCTTGAAGTCAAAAGCTCTTTTTACAAAAACCCCAAACAATTAAACTCTCTAGCATGCACCAGTTGTGCAGTACAGCTCAACAGGCTTTCAGCATAGATTTAGAGATGAGTGATTTTTTAACCTCCATGATCTTTAGTGAACTTAATTTCTATTTATTGTTTGATCCTTTAAGGATTTTTAATTAATGTAAAATCTAGTGTGTTTTAAGAATATAAGCATGGCCAAGACCATTCTGTGAAATTTTGCCTCCTAGGAATGATCCCTTACACAAGCTAATTTCTAAAATGTTCCTGTGACTTGTTTCTACGTGTATTATTTGTCTTGGGCCAAAAGCAGCTAAAGACAACCTGATAAAAGTTGTTTTAACATTAAAGAGAATTGGTTCTATTTCACCTGAATGTGTTCACAGATGATGTTTATTTTCAGGTATAAATGTAGTCAAGTTTTAATTTTTTAAATACATGCTGATACTAGAGCTTCCTTATCTAAACTGTAGCAGGACTGAATAATTTTTGAAATCACATTCATCTGTGGTTTGGATTAACAGTTTAACTTATCAGGTGCATATCTTTGGACAAGAACAGCATGGCCAAACTTGGCATTGGATTCTAGTAAAACATCAGCATTGCAGAGATGTTATAAGAGCCATATAAAACTCTTCTGTGTGCTCTTCCTTTCTTTACTTTCTTGATGAACAGGAATATTTTGGGGAACTAAGACTATGACAAAGCCCATAATTATGCCATTTTATCTGTGGTTTAGCTTATGAACCTAGAGAAAACAGAGAATGCACGTGCATGTTTCTTTATTTTTGATTCTTTATTTTTGTTTCTGATTGTCTTTTTTTTCGAAAAAGTATTTCTTTCTGGGTTCAGTAACCTCTAGCTGCCTTTGTCAGGGGAGTACTTAATCAGCATTTTTGGTAGATGTACCTCCCCCTCCAAGTAATCCAGTTAATTAGTTAGTTGCTTAGTTACTCTAGCATTTGGATTTGGAAAACCGTTTTGCTCTGAATCACCTTGGTGAAAGAGTGTTTCATTTAAATGGATTATTGTCAAATATCTCCTAGTATCAGCTTTTTGTCAGTACTTAGAGCTTTTGTCCAAGACAGTAATAGAGAAAATACAGGCACACAAGGTGAGTCTTTCAGTCAATATGGAATTTTCCAGTTTGACATAATCTCCTAAAATTTCCAAGTTCACTAGTAACCTTGCAAAAAAAGCCAAAAAATCCTAAAATTACTGCAATTAAAATAGGTTTATTGTGTCAATTACCTTCTTTTTCATTTACTTCAGGCTTGCAGAGGTGTTCTGTCTCTTGGTGATTCAGCCTCTGTCTCTAGGCCAAGGAAGCTATGTAAAGTCAGAAACTGGCACTGCAAGTACACTGTGTAAGGAAAGAAATAAGAAGGGATGCCTTGTCAGTCACATATTTTAAAATGCAGATTTAATATAATACATATTTCTGAACTGACTCACTCTCATTGCCACTGAACAGAAACTATTGAAGGATTTTAGGAAACTGCACACTTCCATGCATAATGTCAAGGGTTTAATGTAAACAAAGAAGAGCTAGGATATCCGTCTTTTTTTTGATATTCACAGAGTTCTAGGGTGAAAAAAAACCAAACCTCTAGTGGAAAACACTGAAGAGTGAGACCTGTCATAACATTGTGACATTTGTCTGGAATTCCCATGATATCTTTCAGTCACTTCAAACAGTAATAATGGGAGATACTTAAGTATTAGAGATCCAGAGTTAGACCCAAGTGAAAATCTAAAAATTAATTGTAAATTTTGACCCTCAATGTTAATATTTTTTTTCTATGCTGTCTAGGGCATACTTTGTTCTTATATGTAGTATTCTAAAATTAAAACAGGTTACAATTAATAAAATAGAACAAAAATATTTCTCACTATGGAGATTCCCTTAAAATCCATATCAGAAAATAGGAATACTGAGCTCTTTAAGTTATGCTAAATAAATGGATATACAAAAGCTGTCCTCTGAGGTAAAGGTTGCATCCAGCAGCCACATCTCAGCCCAATGTGAAGAGTAAAATCAGCTGTCTGTCAGTCTTTCCCTTCTTCTCCTTTTCTCCACATAAAGGTAGCTTGTGTGTTTCAATTTGGTAGCCACTTACGTGGACAAGTGGATGACACCTGGACTGCACCATGAAATAGTCCTCTTTGTTTTAGTGCAGATTTCAATACCTACCTGTACTGAAAATATTTCTGCACATACTACTGTCACTGTCAATATCATCTGTTATTTATGAGTGAATATAAATTGGAAATCAATTAAGATTCTAAAGTTTATATGAAGAAAAACAACCAAAACTATAAAATCTTTTTTGAGAACAGAATACTTCATCTCAATATTTTGTAGCCTTTGAAATAGACTGCCAAATAAACATCCTGGTGTTCTGAATAGAGCTGTCTCTGCTTCTCCATTTGGTGCTTTCACTGAGGCTGATTATAGTTGAAAGGAGGACAATAAATTAGGTCGCTGAAACTGTAGTGTACTAATCTAACACAATTCAAAAAGGAAAGCAAGGTGATAAAGTGAGGCAAAGCATGACTGTGTAATGTAAATTACATTTCTGGTGAGTATGAAAGTGCTACTTTATCCTTAAAATGCCTATGAAAGAAGTTAGCATAGCAAGTCACAGAATTCATGTTCTACTTATTTATATGTTGATTTTGTAGTGTGTAGTGTCAGGAAAAACTTATGGGCAAATTTTTTTGTGCTTTGCATTTTCAGTTAAGGGACTGAAACCTTTTAGCAAGATTGACAGTGCAAGTTATTCTAACTAACTAGTTCCAGGAACAATTTTTATTAATTATTAAAGATTATCCTGGGGAGAAAGGGATGGGATAAAATAGCTAGAATAATAGGAATAAACCTCAGAAGGGACCACATGGTTAATTAACTAATGTAAGCACCTTGTGTAATGAAGGCATTATGAGCAAGGAAATAATCTTTTTTCTAAACTCACAGGAATTGTCACACTTGTGACAATTTACACTTGTCAAGTGCCCAGAGGTGACTGTCATCTAGTCTATATTACCTAAATGTGCCACAGCTCCAAATAGACACACAAAACATGTATTTGTAAATACATAAAAAAACCCCAACTCCACTGGTTAAGTATCCTAAAACATCTGAAGCCATGGATTCAATTTTCAGTGGTCCTTGCAGAAAAAAACCCATTGTGTAAAAGTGAATTAGTCAAGTGGTGGACAAATATGGACAGTGGTATGGGGAGTGGGGTGTGGAAAAGCACTCACAAGCACATTGCAGAAAGCAAAATGAAAGAACAAGGGTGAGTGAGTCAGATCCAAGGCCTGGGTTACATTTGACTCTCAAAATAGAGGTTCTTGTGCTCAGCAAAATTGTACCATCTAGTCAAAAGGTAAATATATTCATATTGAAAGCATTTTGCAGCTTTTTTTTTTGTTTGTTTTTTGTTTGTTTGTTTGTTTGTTTGTTAAGTGATTTTCAGTAGAGGCCTCTACTTCAAATTGCTTTTACTGTATCTGTTTCAATTAGGAGAATTCAAAACTGGTTTGTTTTTAGGAAGGAGATAAAATATGGTTTCTAGGCTACCTAGTCAGTATGCTGTACTTTTTTCAGATGTTTTTTGTTTGGAAAGCATTCTTTTATGGCAGGATATTTATTGAGGCACTAAGGTAACAGCCATTACAGGATTTGCTTTCCTATAATTTTCACTCATTAAATGATAGGAATATATCTCTCCTAATTGGCACACTGTGTTTGAAATATTTTGAGTAGCCTATAAACAGTTTAATTAACGAAAAGTAATTATTCCTATCCCATAATTTCATATCCTTTTTTTTCTGGCATACAGGTGTGTTTTTTAGTTTGACTATGCTGTTCTACGTGACCCTTTATCTACAACCATTCTAGTAAAATTGAAAAGAGAGATACTCACTACATTAGAATGCTTTTTCATACAATTTAAGGACAACTTGTTACTTTAATCTAAATTCCTAATATGCTGGTGCAAATTATTGCTATTGTTTTGAATATGTCAATTATATTTTGCTTGCTTCTTGTAATCCTGTCCAATTTATTGTCCTCCAGTAAGTGGTTAAAAATACTTTCAGAAATGCATTTTATTCAAATGTTAATACCATTTTCAGAATAGAAAGATATATTATGTAAAGCCCAGCAGGGTTATTTTTAAAATTCAAAATGCAGATGTAGTTATTAGTTTCGCATTAATTCATAATGCAAATAAGAGTGATGCTATTAATCTACAACAGTCTTTTGGCTGGGTTTTTTTTAATGTAAGTGGCCTTGTGTTGCTGAGCAGAACAGATACACTGAAGATTTTAAGAGATGTGCATTTATTTAAAATAGTGATTTTTCTACAGTTGTAATTAAAAAAAAAAAAAAAGTGATTTGAGGCATCAGGCATTCCATTTCTTGGAATTTTCTTAATGGAGAACTTTTCATTAGTCCATCATTGTTTCTGGGTATTTTGTAGCCGTCTGAAATGATAATGCAATGTATTGGTTTTGTACTTCTAAAATTTTTTTTTCTTTTCTTTCTCTGTTTACATCTATGGTTGAGAACAAACAGTGCATTATTTATTTTTTGTTATTTTTATTTCTCTTCAGGACACAGCAGGTTTTAATACTCCCCTTCTCAGACCTCGTGTTATTGGAGAATGGATTGGCCGTGAAGAGAATGACGCAGACCCTCTGGCTGCTGAGATGCTGCAGCCACCAATACCAAGAAATAAAAATGAGCAGTGGGACAGTGAGGATAGCAGCAGTCCCGGAGGAAGGTGGGTTTTCGATCTGGCCTAGAAACTTTGTATTTTGTGAAACAGAGGTGTCTTTGTTAAAAAAATTCCATTTCTGAGGGCAGAGTGCAGGGGTTTTGAATTCCCATGCCACAGCATGGGCACATGCAGAATAAATAGAAGTCATTAATATGTGACTTTTTTCTTCTCATGCTTTTCTATATGATTAACTTAATACCCATTTGCAATCCTATGGATTTATTCCCATGTGAAAAACTAAGTGTATTTTGACATGGTTGGGGTCTATTGTGTAATAATGTTGTGATGTATAGCTTCATTCAGATACTTCATACCTTTCCATCTTTCCTGGGCTGGTAGTAGCTATTTATTAACTTTCTTGACACTTAAGTGATAAATCTAGTTTTCTCATTTAAAGGAGAGATAGGCAAGGGAAGCAGTATCTATGTTATTTTTAACAGGACTTCCTAAATTCATTTTCATTTCACGTCTTAGCTTTTTTGGTGTTAATAACAAGTCTTTCTCAAAGAGAAATTTTGTTCTCTGCAGTAAATGATTTCTGAAGATTTATTGTGCTTGAATGAAAGAATTTGTGCTTCAGCTGCATGGGAGAGATTATAATACAAGGAGTCTATTTTCCATGATTTAAAGATATGTTCATCACAGAAGGTTAAATATTCACAGCCTTGCTTTAAAAGGGATAAATCTTCTGCACTGCCTCTGTTAATTGACTTAGGCACCTATGTTCTTCCTTAGCCTTGGAGCATATCTCCTGGGTTATTACTAGTACTTTGACTGGAGCAGACATCTTTTTCTACCTTTTTTTGGAAGGCAGAAACTCTCTGCTTTTCCTTTGAAAAGGTCTGAGGTATTCCTTCAGTTCACATTCTTGCATGTGCCTTCTACATTGGAACTCACCTCCCTCTCACACTGAAACTAATGTGTCACTAGCTGTGCTGTTACAGACTGCATTCATTAACTTTCCTCACATCTTGGGAATATTTGTTATCCATGAGTACTTCATTTAATTAGATTATTGTGGAGGTAGCTTTGAGTACTACTATTTCAAAGAAGTAGCAGTGTGTAGTAATGATCCCTCAGCCAGCCCTTGGATGGGAACCAACAGAACTCAGACTCTGGGTCTCTTCAGTGCAGTTCCTGGGAAAATAATGGAGTCAGCAACTGGCACTGTAGCTTGATTGTGCAGGCCTGGGTTTCTTTTTCCTTATTCAGCAGTTCAGTAAAGGCATTGAATAGATCTGTTCCATGTTTCAGAGCAAATTGAGGATATTGTATCCCTTCTGTCAATAGAAAGGAGAAAAAATAAGCATCTCTGTCTAATTTCCAGAAGGGAGCAAGGAGGTCTAGTTCTGGGCAACAGACATGATTCAAAGCAGCACGTTTTTCTCTTTGTAGAGGGTGGTACAAGCTGAGAGAAACCTCACAGCTAATGCTATAATTAAAAATGTGATTAATGGCTTTGAGTATAGTATTTGAGGAATCATGTTGAGTATCATTACAAAATCAGGTTTCCTGATGTGTGAATAAGGAGAATATAGGAAACTTGAAGCCAGGAAAGACTCATGGGATACTGATGTCTCTGTAGGTACAGTAAGTGCTGAAGGCCTACTGAAAAATATGTATTGCTAAGTGGGAGTACTGATTTTCAGTGGGAATGAGTAACTACTAAATTACATGCAGCATATGGATTTACATTTGGATTACTGATTTTATGTCTGGGATAATTCTTTGCTTCATTAGCATTTCATCAGCTTTTGTATGGCATTTATAAAAATCATGTTTGCAGTCTTGCAAAGGAGTCACCAAGCTGCAGAACTTCAAGATAGTGGTGATACTAAAATTGATGTCAACTATATATGGAAATTTTAAAGACCCATGTTGATCAAGGTTAATCTGAATATTTAATAATAGTTCACTAATAACTGGCAGTTTCTTCAAGGTCTGATGTAGTGTTACTGTAAATTAAAGTGCTATTAGCAGAATTTTGGAAATGACCACACACCAAATGCACGAGACAAGTACCAAGTAATAATAACTTAGTTTTAATGTAGCAAATAACTAGTACACTTAAAAATAGTGTACTAGTTATACTAAAAATAGTGTATTAGTGTACTAAAAATAATGGGTAGAGTGTTTTGCTCTCAAAAGAGTGACTTTATCAGTTGGAAAAAAAGTTCGTCTATGTCATCTGAATTTCAATACTCTATTTCATAGTTAATGTAGCCATAAGTAGTTAAGTTACCTTTTGTAAAAATAAGTTTCATTTTGGGAAATGAAAGAGAGGGCAATTTGAAATACCCACATTTAGTGTTTCCAATTTTGTCTTGTTAAATTTTATTTAGTAACACTTCTAATAAAAAGTGATAGGTTGTTTATCACTATTTATCAGGATTTATGGGATAAGCCAGCAAACTCTTAGAACTAATTATGATACTCAGTTAAAATACAAGAATGAGAAAGTCAAAACTGTAATTGTTCCATTATTTCCAGTTTGTATGTTTTGTTTTACCTGTCACTAAACATAAGGAAATGGTACATATATGAAACACTATATAAATATCTAAAGGATCAGACATAGACAAATCATTGGTAGAGTAAGTGCCATCAGTGTGGTGCGACGGAACCACCATTTCCTCCTGAAAAACATGCATTCCTGTGATGATGAGCAACGGAAGCAGACATGTCATATATTTGAAAGCCCGGTCCAGTAACTCGAAAAAAAAAAGAGCAACTGAAAGGACAGGTGTCACTACTGCTCTGACTGGGAAAGACAGTGTATCCAGTCTGAGGTAGCTCTGTTAGAGATGTCTTGTCAAGTGGATGAAGGGTCACCTCTTTGTCCTTGATGTTCTGCATGGCTACCGAGGAAAGATTGTGTTTGTCAATGGTTTTGCACTGCTCTCTGTTGCTGCTGTAAGGAAGAAAGGCAAGGTATTAATAAGTGACAACAGAGCACAGAAAAGTGCTGAGGGCAATCCTGCTGGTACTGAGTTCATCTTTCAGAAATTTGAACTCCATGAAAATAGGATTAAACCCATTTCCAAATCACTGTTAGTAGTTTTCTACATGAAAAATTTCTTGGAGGAATTCTGAGAAGATGCAAGGCACTTGGGAATCTTCCTCCAGGGATAATGAATGTACACAATGGGGAATTTGAGTGGTTTTTATTAGATGTCTTGTCTCTTAGAGCGTGAAATGACCTAGAGCTTGCAGAGGTCCCATTCATAACCTGATGTCCTAAACTCAAAGCCTGTTCTTCATCTCCAAGGTGCACTTTCTCTTATTTTTGCTGGAGAAATGAACAGTTGTTGATTATATTAAAAATCATACATTTGCAACAATTCTGCCTTCCTGCAACAGACTGTAAGGACAGTCTGTGTTGGTGGTACACTCATGAGGTACCTCTCATGTGGGGCACCAAACTTCTGTCTGTTTTATGTTCATACAGAAAGGAATGGCAAACTATAGCAAGTCCTGCCTTAGACCCTTCTGACATCTGTACAGTTCTGGTTGTCTGTTATTTAGGTCAGAGGCACAATTCAACAAATCAGGAAAAGTGTATAATCCTGTGGGGTAATGGTATCGAAACCACTCTAGAGAGCAATTTTTTGTTGTCAACTTCTTTCTATGCATCAATGCCTTTGCAATACTGATTTCTAATTGACATCCTGTTGTTCTATATATTTAGCTTATTTGGACTTGATTAGTGCACATAAAAATCAATGGGAAATTTCCCAAATTCAATCAAAACATTAAGTAGAAACTGAAAACACAAAATGTCTTACAACATCCAATGATCAGGGAATGAGTGATGTATTTTGAAGAGAGCACCAGTAAGAGAAAGTTGTGCTTTGCTCCCTCACAGCTTAAAAATGGAGCCAAAGACCAAAGGATTAAAACATCAACAGCAGCAACATAAGAAACTGCTGGCTGCCATGCTTTCTCAGGACTCCTTTGATTCTGCTCAAAGCACAGCTCCATCTGTAACCGAAGAAGACATTGACAATGAAGATGATGCAATGGAACTACTGGGTAACTGCAAAAAATTATGTGTATTTTCTGAATTTTTTTATTATAAAAAATCAAACAGGGATTAGTCAGAAACTGCTCCCTATGTTTGAAGCTAAAGTATTCAGCAGCTATGTGAAGGTTCATTAGGGTTTAATGTGAAAATTTCAGGAGAAATGTAAGGAGGACCATAAATGTGTATGAATAAACTCCCAGCTGCATCCAAATTCCATGAAATCAAATGCTTCAGGTGCTTAAAGTAATTAATTTGGTTTCCTACATAAATCCTTTCCACGTTTTACTTGCAGAATGTATTTCTGTACAAGGAACAGAATCAGCTTCACTGTCTTTCATCTGGTTCTACTTTTTCTTAGCTGTATCACAGTTTTAACTTCAGTAGATTTTTTTTTTACTTACTATCTACACAAAGTAGTAATGTGAATTTGTAACCTCTTCAGAGGATTTGATTGTAATTTTCCACTAGACTGTATTGTATCTTAAATTGCACTCTAGAAGACCTCATGCTCACTGCTGCCTCCCTTTCCTAGAATTACTAATTGTATTTAATTAATAGTGGTTCTAATTGTACTTAATAATTTCTTTTCTGCTATTTTTCAAAGTTTCAGTGTGTGATGCTTAACAGGCAGTCATGGATTTCATTACTTGTTCACAGTTTCTTCTCTGTGGAACTTTGTGTGGAATCAAAGCTTGGGAAATTCACAATCTCAGAATCACTAAGATTTCTTGAGTTTATGAATTCTGGCATGATTTTTCTTTTTCAGGTTGGACCTTAATCTAAAAATCAGGAAAACACAAGCTGCTCGTTTTACTTTCTATATTTCTGTTGCATCCTTGCTATAGTCTTCAAAGAAACACAGGACAGTTGAGGTTGGAGGGGACTGCTGGAGGTATCTAGCACAACATTTTGCTCAAAATAATCAGCCATTGCAGGTTTTTCTATGTGAATTTTGAGTCTCTCCAAAGAGGAGAGAGTCTCTGGGCAGCCTGTTCCAGTGCTTGACTGTGCTCATGGTAAAAATATATATGTATATATATTCTGCTTAATTAAATGTGAATTAATAAATAATTTCCTTTTAATTTTTCAGTAGTTTTAAGTTTGATACATGCATTTGTTCTACAAGAAAGAAGAGAATGGCCTGGATCACTCATTGTTTATTACACAGGGGATAGATTTTTTTTGTTAATTTCTGTGTGGACAGTGAGCAAAATGTATACAATAGATGCACAGGTTTTTCTTCCAGACACTTGAATCCCTGAAGTTATCTGGAACCAAGAAGGCAGTATAAAGGAATTTTCTAGCGTCTTGACATTTGGGTAGAAAATTATCTATGTACAAAGTAATGTTTTGGAGGTTTTTTTTAAATAAGTACTTGATTGTAAGAATTCATCCTAGTTTTGTGCCATGCAAAACCTGGAATATTTTTCTATTCTGCAGTTCATCAAAACTGGCTAAGTTTATATCAAACCAACGTAAAACTAAGAAAGTTCATGAATAGGACCTCCAGTTTGGGTAGGGTGTTATATAAATGAATGTAAGATTCTGAGGCAAATTCCTGACATATTTGAGGAGTAGCCATGCTTGCAGTGATTATAATATTGCCATGTTGTAGTAACAACCACTGAGAGTTCAATATACACTGAGCTTTCAGTGGTATTCAAAGTGCTGTCCTTCTAAAAAACTGGCTTTTATTTTAATTCTCATTTTGCAATTTGCTGACAGTATGTATTATATTTGGTATAATGGTTATGCTACATTCCCCAGAAATGCTCAAAATTTGAGAATGACTGTGTTACATGGGAAGGATGTTTTTGGTTTCCTCTGAAGGTAACAAAGAAATTCAGTTCCTATCAGCAAGTATAGGTCTTTTTCATTGCTATATTTTCCAGGTCAGTAACTGATACTGTGATTGTTTTTTTGTGTTTTGGGGTTTTTTTGTGTGTTTTGTTGTTGTTTTTGTTGGGTTTGTGTTTTTTTTTTTTTTTTTTATTTTGTACCACATTAATCCATTAACTGCTTCTATGCTTTTTACAGAACCTATATGCAGTATAACTGCTTTCAAATCATGGCTTTCTGCCATCACTGAATTGCAGGGCATTGTTGCATATAGCTCTTTGATTTGTTCTCTTCGGAGTTCAGTATTCTTTGTTTATTCAACCCTTTCTTAAAAAAATTACAAAACTTCTTGCTCCTATGTCAGGATTCTGGGAAAACTGTTCTACTATTTATAGCAGATAATTTAAAGCATACACTACATTTAAAATACAGAACACAGACATCCATCTTTAGGTGTGTTCAAGAGAATCTTTTTCAGATTTTGGCTGATTTATTTAGGTATTAAAATAACGAAGCTGACTTTTTGCTTATTTTCTTTAAAAAAACTCTATCGCCTAGGTAAGTCAATTAAGGTTTTACCTAGAATTCTTTTATATTCCAAATAAAAGAAACAATTGCATTGTTACCCATTTCAAAAGAAATGTATGTGCAAAGAAGAAAAAGAATGTTACAGGGCTATATTCTGATTTCAGTTATCACTTTTTATATGCAAGATAACATGCATAGGAGCACTGTTCCCATGATGGAGACTTTCTAAGTGTGTTAATTAAGCAGGTGGCTGAAATACATTAGTGACCGATAATATCATAATGGAAAGGATCTTCTTGACTTCAAGAAGCTGAGAACTGTAACTGTCAATTCACATGTGTTTGTTAATGTTGAAGGATCTCGAATGTCTGGGACAAAACTATATCAAAGGACTCATTTTTTACACATCATAATGCCAAGTATTGTATTTTGTATATCTAAACAGGAGCTGATGTGATTATTTGAGAAATTCTGCAACCCTTTTTGGAGTTCTATGACTTTTGGGCTTAAGCTGTCTCTCACATTTGGGTGAAGTCTGCTGAGACTTAGAAATTATGTTACTCTCTCCGTATCTCACTGATGTGTGTTGGAGAGGACTGAACTGTTATTTTCTCTGAAATTGCTATGAGTATTGATTATACAGTCACCAAAGCATGACTTGTTTGGTTTTAAAAACTCAATTGACTAAGTGTAAGAATATAATTGCTTAAGTGTATTGCTGTGCATAAATATACGCATTGTAAAAGCATAAGGATTTCTGTAGCACAATTTTATACTATAATGTATACTTAAATATACATTCTTAAAGTTTTTACAAGTTAAGGAAGATGAGAGAGACGTTCTGTGTTGCTTTACATAATCATGGCATAGAGAACAAGTCCTGTCAGGAGCAGCTCAGGGGAAAAGGATTGTTTAGGCTGGAGAAAAGGAGGCTCAGAGGAAACCTTATCACACTCTCCAGTTTTCTGAAACGAGGCCAGGTAGAGTTTTCTGTCTTCTTCCATTAACAAGTGATAGGACAAGGCCACAGGTCATGCCAGGGGAGATTTAGGTTAAATATTAGAAAAAGCTTTTTCATGGAAAGGTTTGTCGAGCATTTTAACAGGCTGCCCAAGAAAATGGCTTAGTCACTAACCCTGGAGGGATTTAAAAGATGTGTAGATGTGGCACTTAAGGACATGGTTTAGTGGTGGACTTGGCAGTGCTAGGGCAATGGTTGAACTTGATGATCTTAATGGTCTTTTCCAGCCTAAATGATTCTATGATTCCGTGATATTTAGTCATAATACTCAAGCAGCAATTTCTTGGTTTTGCCCAATCTCTCTGTGTGTTCATGGTACTAAATGTGTTACCATATGTTAACAGATGCTGTGCAGTAGTTAACTCTGTAGCACCTCTGCAAAGGGCGCACAGGAAGTTCACTCACACAACTGTGGTTGAAGTGAAAGGTGGTGATGACTGAAGCCAAATTCCTGCAATTAATGCATATGCCAGTCTGTATGATTCTCAAGAGCCTCTCTGATTTCAATGCAAATAATCTTATATCTGAGCTGAACTTAAGTGTTTGAAGCATCAGGACTTGTAAAACTCTTCTTTGGAGCTGGTTTCACAAAAATTATGCTTTTTTCCCAAAATGTATAAATTTGAAGTGAAATGCCTCATGTTTATTATGTGTAATTCCTTCTATACAACAATAAATACAATAATAAACCAGAATCTTTAAAGATAGTAGTGCACTTCAATTAGAAATAAACTTTCCAGTTACTGCTTTGGGAGATACCTGATGTGTTCTTTTTGCTTCTTCGAATCTTTAGAATTTCTTTTTTTTCTTCAAGAGCTTTCAAATGTTAATTATTTAATCATTTTAATACCCTTTAAAGGCTGTCTGGTGATATATCTGCATTTTATAACAAGAGGAGATAAATCAAATGTAGTGGAGATTGCATTTGCCTGAAGGATGAGACTGTAGCTCAGTGTCTGGTAGTTTACCCCTTATATATCTATACTGCTTTTTTAATGAGCCTCTGAGTCATTAATGAAAGGGTGTGCAATCTGCAGTGTTTTCAGTGCATTTCCTCTGATTTAACAGACGTTCCTCTTTTCCTTGGTTCCTAAAGGTCTTTGATAACATGCAGGAAACTGACTCTAGGCATGATAAATTATACTAATACTAGCAACAGGTTGTTGCTTTTTGTTGACTTTCCCAGATGAACAAAACCTTCTCCAGTATGTGACTAGAATACAGAATTTTCAGAAAAGAGACCACAAAGCCCTGAGAAAGATGACGTGAGTTGTACTACGTCTTCAGAACAGTTTTCTGGCCTGCAGCCTGTTTTGTTGTGATTTAAGTAGAATGATTGTGTGGGAGAAAGATGTGTGAATTGCTCATAATGTTACCTTTCACTGAGTCTTGTGTTTTTGGAAGCTATTGGGAAGTTGGCAAAACTACCAGTGGGCATGTGCTGTGTAGGGCACACACAGAGAATGACACCCCTGGGAGACAGGAGGCTCTTCTGCATGCTGAGACTGGCTGTGCTATACACTGCAGTTTTCAGTGGCAGATACAGTGCACTGGTGTGTGTGTAACAGATGTCCTCCAGAAGAGCACTCAGGCTCCATCAGGTGTGGGTTTAAATATCTT